ATATATATATATATAATTTAGACATCAGTTCTTAAGTTTGTCTACACTTTGTAGTATATAGGACTGATTTGAACTTGAATGTTCCATTATGTTGGTTTCATTATATTTGGAGGCAAATTGTTTATTCTTTCTGTGCCTTTATTTTCATCAGCAAAATGAGGCTAGACCCCACCACCACCACTGTCGGGTTATTAGAAAGATTCAATTAAATGTGATACTGTTTACAAAGATCTTAATAGTGTGCTCAGCATAAAGTGGGTGTGCATTAGATGGTGGAGATGGCAGTGGTTGTAGCGGGTGTGCTGACCGTGTGTGAGACAGTAGAGACAAGTGAGGGGCGTAGCTGTTGTGAATTCAGGACTCTGCCAGCCAGGCTCTGCTGTGGGGGTTGTGGGGCCTGAATGAGACAGTGCGTGTGAAGTGCTTAGCTTAGTGTCTGCTTCACGGTAAGCGCTGATACATTAGCTTTCAGGGAGTACTAGTGGAATAACAGTAATAACTGAGCCTTAATACATAGTCCTTTCACAGTTGATGTCCTGTAAACGTTAAAAGCTTCAAGGTTTTTTGTTGAATAATTAACTTTTGTCTTTACATTTATTGCTCTCTTCCATATTTCTGATTAGGATTGTTAAAATGAGTCTACGGAAACAAACCCCTAGTGACTTCTTAAAGCAAATCATCGGAAGGCCAGTTGTGGTCAAATTAAATTCAGGAGTGGATTATCGAGGTAATATTTTCAAGTTTTATCCTCACTGGTGTAACTAAATAAGTAAATATAACTTAGTGGTTTTCATTAATGTGTAAATGTACCCAATAGACAAAAAAGTATTGATCGATGTTTTCATATCTATCTTTTTCTACCTTTGAAATGATTCCTTCTATGAAAAAAAAATGCTGATAGCAGTTTGTGCTTCTGACTTCCAGTATTATTTGTGAGAATTCTGTCTTCTGTCTCTGAGATTGTATATACCTAAGCTGTCTGATAATAGCCAGAGATTCCCAGTCATCTAGTATAAATAACTGAGTACTGAAGAACATGTTGGCCAGCAGCGTGTGTCTTTACAGTTGCGTTCAAGATTAGCAAACACCTATTTAGACAGTGTTGGTTTACAGTATGAACCGAACAACTTGTGTGATGTGTCGGGTATCCAAAGATGCCTTTCTGTTCTTGTAGAGAATATTGCTTAAGAGGCTCTGACATTAACTTTATGAAAGGAATATCATCAGATTCCATTTCTTAAGAGTTACTTAATCTCTTAAGAGATTAAGAGATTAAATCCTTAATCTTCCAAAATTAAGCTTCATAAATTACTTGGAATATTTTGCAGGTATATCTATATAATCGCAAGTAATTCATCAGCAAAGTTTTATGGCCTTTTCTTGGTCTCTTTTTCCGAATAATTAATTATAGTAATCTCTTGATCATTTTCTTCTTTCCACAATGCAGACTTAATTTTACTGAGAGCTTACAATGTATCCATTATGTGTTAGTTATCAACTATAAGTTGATTTTCATTTTTATCTTCACACAAATGCTTTGGAATCTGTTGATGTCCCTACCTAGTAAGAGAAGAGCTAGGATTCAAACTCAGACTTGACTCAGACCTTGTAAGAAATGTTTGTGCTTTACTGCTTTAGTTTTTTGACATTAATAACATTACCCATTTAATTTGGTTTTTATGTTAGAAATGGATTTGTACTTAATACTGAGATATAAAGTCTTGCATATTGCTTTTTTAAAAAAATTAATTTTATTGGTACATTTTAGTTATACAATATAATGACATTCATCATTGGAAATTTGCACCTTTACATAGTCTATCTTGGTTCCTATTTTTTTCCCATTCCCCTGCCCTCCTTCAACCCCTCCAACCCTCCCCATTTACAAAGATTTTGTTTTCATTTTCTCATATTCATTCCATTCCCTTCTTTCTTACCTGTGAACTTTGATGAGCCCTAAGGAAGTACAGATTTGAGTATATGATATTGGTGTCATTGTGTTTAGTATCTGTCTTATCTGTCTTAGTACCTATTTTATTGGAGAGATCAGCTCTTTTAACCTTTTTTTTGTCTGAATTCTTTAGGAAAAAATGTTTTTCTTTATGAAAGTTTAATTGTTATTATTAGAAATTCAGGACAAATAATGGAGAAATATGGGAAAAAAGCAAAATGTCTCTAAATTCTACCTTGTAGAGATAATCTTCCTTATGAGTTGTGACTTTCTCTATATACACTTTCTTTCTCTATATACACTTACTTTTACATAAATGGAATCAGCTATATATGCAACCTGGTTTTATATTTTATTACACTCAATACATTTAGTTCTGTGATAATGTATCTGTCAGTGGCTACATAGTAATCCCTGATGTGACTATATTAAAGTTTTGTTTTAATCAGTCTCCTATTAATATATACTTGTGTTTATCTTTGTTCTTGTTATAAATAACCATGCTTTTTTGCCTAGATCTTCAGCACTTGCCCAATTATGTCATTAGCATAAAAACACAGAACTAGGATTTCAGTGTATGCCACGTAGCCGTCCATTATGTTTTGGATTTATTGATTTATTATCTATGTTCTTACTCAGCCTTTATGTTGGCGTTTGCTTATCGTTTCCAACGTAATTGGCAAAAGTAATAGCATTTTATTTATGTTTTCTTTGTTCACTAATGAGGCCGAACAGCCTTTCTCATAGATAATAACTGTAATTTTTCTTCTTTTATGTGTTCTTAGTTTCTATACTGTTGAGCAAAATGTTTTACATTAGCTAGAGAGCCTTACTAAATAAAAGAATGTGCTTATTTTGTGGTTAAATAATTTTTTAAAGAAATTAATATCTTTGTAGCAGTTTCTCTGTACCTTTGGAAAAGAGGCTTACTTTTCTTCTTTTTATACTAATTTTTCTATAGAAGGGTGGAATTATAACCTACCTCTGGGCAGGTGGGCTTTTCTTTTTCAGCCTTTGCTATGAGAATAGATATTTTGATTAAAAGTTGAACATTTTGAAACAATCCTTCCAATTCTGTTTTTATACATATTTGTATATCATGTTTTAAATTTTCTTAGTCATTTATGATTGTGATTTAAATGTAAGATAGTACAGCAGGAAGCAAACTATAAAGTTGTATCTTAAGCTTTGTTTTGGTAGGAAATAATTATTCTTTGTAGTTCATGGTCCATTCTGGTTCTTTGGAAGTTTACTGCTTCTCACAGAATTTCGTTAGGTTAATGTCTTGTGCTCTCCTTACACAAACACAATTTTGAAAAGAAACTTTTTTGTTTAGAGGATAATGGGGGCAGAGGCAGAGAGTGAGGAGCATATTAATGAAGTTAAGACTTTAAATGAAACTATTGACTCAAATCAGTTAATCGAATTTAATATGTAGAATGTTTTTTTTTTTTTAGTTTCTCCCCACTCCCTAGAAAATAACACTTTAACTGAGAGTTAGAGGCTTACAGAGTTTCATCTTTTGAAAAAATAATCATCTGGTCAAATTTTGCAAAATTTATACCATTGTAACACAATTAAAGTGATTCACTCAAAAGTGTTTCCTTGAAAGCTCCCTGGAATGTTTTTAGCCATTTTTCTCTATTAGTTTCGCTTTGAAGATATTCTACTGTAACAAAACAGAACGGATGTGTTACAATGCAATATGTTGCCCGGCATTCTCAAGCTGCTCTTCCCTGTGAGTCACAGCTTTGAGATGTTCTTTCAGGAGCACCTGCTGTCTCCTCTTCTATTATTTTAACAGATTGTGGAGACTTCCTCTTAACCCTGGAGTACATTTGTCTGCTGCAGTAGATGTTGTGAAAGAGTGAAATAAATCTGCCAAACCCTTATTTCACTTAGTGGCTAAAGTAAGAAATGCCGCTGGAACCGAAGATCATTTGTCCATTCATAATTGCCCACTCCTGTCTTTAGCTTCCAGATAATGGCATTTCAGTTGGAATATTCTTATTCTTTTACTTTCGTGAAGGCATTGACAGTTGCTGTGGTGCTCATACATACCAAGAAAAAGTGACATTCGTTGCCTGTTCTGTTGTAGTGAGTGCGTGACTACTTTCACATTATGCATTTCCTAGCCTGCCTTCAGACTGGCACAGACTAAAGACTCATTTTGTATATAACTCTTTTGGGTTTTGTTTACAGTGTGAATTTTTATGTTACTCATCTAAGGGTGAATGAATAAAGAGATTATCAGTTCTAAGATATACCCTGTAAATTACTCTATATGTTGTTTTAACGAAATTTGTCTCCAGGGGTCCTGGCTTGCCTGGATGGCTACATGAATATAGCCCTGGAGCAGACAGAAGAGTATGTAAATGGACAACTGAAGAATAAGTATGGGGATGCATTTATTCGAGGAAACAATGGTAATATTTCTCACTCTGGTTTTACACTATTCAAAATAAGTGTTTTTGTTTGTAATCAGAGACACTAGAGAGTTTTATAGATCACTTAAAAGTTTGGTTTTAGTTTAGTGTTTTTGTTTTGTTTTGTAGGTATGTGTATCACAGATCTTCAGTGTGATCATTCTTTTTTAGATGGGAAATGGAATTTTCCGTGGAACTAAAAATTCAGTTTCCCTCCCTGTACTGATGTGTTGAGGACCATTGTTTTGCTAATGTAGAACCCTGTTCTCTTAAATCATTTATTTCATTTCCCCCACACGTATTCTCTTCCCTCAGAGTAGACTCAGAAGTAAGAATGGACATTCCTTCCCCAATATCTTTAATCGACATAATTTGACACTTAACTTTGTATTTTTTAATTTGACAAAAAAATGGCAAAATAGGAATGGTTTTAAAGTTATGCGGCTTTTTAACCGCTAATACAATGGTATAATTACTGTGATTATTTTTAAATCACTTCATTTCAAAACAAATTATCAAAGTCATATTTAAATTTTGGCAGGAAAGGGTAGATATCAAAATTATAGGAATTATCTATCAGTTCCCACTTTTTGATCACCCCACCACCACCACCGCAAAGCCCTGGGATTCTTGAATTCAGATTTTTATTGATTTCTTTAATTCTGAGTAAGGGGCTTTTCAGCCCCTTAACAGTTGGATCTTTTTAGTATAAACTGTCAGTACCATATTTCTTCATATCATATCTTTATACATCTTTTGCTTGTTTTTAAGTCCTTCCCAACATTCGTCCTGTATTTTTCACATTGTTCTTATTTAACTTTCTCCTTTTACTAAGAAATGTTACTGTCTTGCCTTATTTTAAGACTGATGGCACCTGTCATGCCAGGTTGACAGGGTCTTCCTTTCACATGCACCTTATACTAGGAGTTGGAAGTTTCCCTGGAACATCTTTCCTGGTATTGTGATGTTTTCTTTTCCATACAGTAATCAGTAACATTTGTCTGTAGACTCCCCAGTTCATGTCTTTGGCTCTTAAAGAAGATCCCAACTCATTTGATTATCTGTGCTGGCTTTTTTTGATCAAGACATCTCTTAATGTTCCCTTTGAATAAACATGAGAATCTGAGTGTGCCTGGGGATGGGAGAGGAGTTGCACCTCTGGTGAAAGCTTAAACAGTGATCTGATCATCTAATTTCATCCTGTTCTCATGTACTACTTGTCCTTCTGAGTTCAGTTTGATGGTCACAATAAGGACTAGTTAAAGTAAAGCTTTGGGTAATAACAGAGTTTGAGACTCTTGACAGGGAGCTCAGAATAAGGACTTTGGTATCACTTTTAAAATATTTCTCAATTTTTGTTTATCTTGTTAAAATTTAAAAGCTAAACAGCAAATTCAGAATTCATATTGAGATGGAGAAACACATGCTATTTATTCTTAATGATGTGTCTAAGTATAAAGCATTCATAGGTTTTAGGGACTTTTGCCTTTGTTTTATTTCATTTGAATTCCCGGGCACAATTTGTAAAGCCAATCAGATTCATAGACAAGTTTAGATACAGTAATAGGACATCAAATCCGGGTTTAGATTCATAAGACTAGTCAAACAGTAGTCCCAGAATTAATTGTGTAATATGAGAATTCCTTTTAAATTTGCAGAGCTGCCAGGCCAAAATCCATTTGCTTTTAAAACTTGCTACTATGACTCTTAAAAGCAGTTATTAAAAATTTTTTTGTTTTTGTCTTTTCAGTATTATACATAAGTACGCAGAAGAGAAGGATGTGATGACCCCAAGGAAGCAATTCTTTTCATAGTTGGAATATATTTTTTATGAAATGTTTTCTATTTTTTGGTTCTTTTGTGATGTAAGTTGTCTTGCCTTCATAATAGTTGGTGATTTTTCACTGACGTGTGAGTAAGGTAAATGTATAAAATTATGGACTGAATTATAAAAAGTTTTTCACATTTAACTTTCAGTCATTTTGTTTTACATCTGTGTCAGTATACAGAATGCTAAAAGAATAAAAAAATACCAAAATCCATTTCTTCCTACAAGATTGTTTAACTTAAGGTTCAGGCAGTGTCTTATGCTTTACTTATTCAGCTGACTAAAATGGCGCATACCTGGGCATAAAATAAAATGTTCTAGAATCGTTCCCAGTTATCCTCCTCCTCCTACTCCCCATCTATGCACCACACAGAAACTTGGGGTGGGTAAAATGTTCTATGAAAGCATCCAGCTTCAGTCTGAAGCTATAAAAAGGGGCCATGAGGCTGGAATGTCAGCTCCTGATTCAGCCACCTAGACAGAAAATAGAATTGGGACTGTAACAATGGCAGTTCCGTGAAAGAAGTGGTAATCTCAGTTGAGTTGGGGAGATTTTGAAGACTGACTGTATGGTTAGGTGAAAATTTTCCTGTGAGCAATCACCATACTACAACTCCTGTGAAATTAGACTTTTTTAATGGTCTTGCTCCCTTTCAGGAGCATTGGTATCAGTGTTAATCTCTGTGCACACAGGAGATGAGGAGCCACTCCTGTGGATCTGTAGCAGTCATTTCTTTGAAAGCAGAGCCCTTATTTGTAAACTCATTTAGGTTTCTCAGCTGTGCTTGGGAAGGAGCTACTAGCAAGTAACTTTGGGGAAGCCTTTCTCTAAAATCAGCTGTATTCAAGTGTGACTTTGTCTAGCCTTTCTTCTTGCTTGGCACAGGGCAGCTCTTCCACATTACATGACTCCTGCAGAGAGTTTTGCAAATTTATTAATGAGCTTTTCAGCACCCTGCTTTATTCTGTGAACAGTTTTAAGTTGTCTCTATGAACAATAAATATATCTGGGTGCTGTGGCTGAATGGACACCAGACGGTGCAAACATTGTGCTGGCCTTGCTCCCCCCGCCAATCTAGCAGAATCTCCGTTTCAGGGGCCAGGGGTGTGATTTGAAGCAGTTGCCTGATAGAGGGATATAGGAGGAGGGGAAGGGGTGTTATTGGTTCTGGAAAGGTATATGTGGCATTTGTCTTGTTTTATTTTAAAGATCAGAGTGTAATTGCAAAAATTGTTTTTTAATTAATAATTTGGGAAAGGTGAATGGAAACATTTCACAAAGCTTCACTGTGTGCACACTGAAAATAAAACACTTTATGCTATGCTTCAATAATTTATCACTTCTTGACAGGGGCTTGAAAAGGGTCCAGTCTGTAAGTACAAATCACCAATTTGCTCTTATAAATGACTTCTTTTAGGGAGAAAATGGATGTCCCTCCAAGTAGAGCGCTCATGCTCTCATTTGTTTTGTAGAGTATGTGAAGCTGCCAGGTTCCTGCATCCCTTCATTCATTCACATCAGCCGTTGTCTCCCACCCCTCGGAAGCATCCTGTTTTTACTAACTTCTTCCCTGACCTGCCTGACAGCACATAAGTCTTTATTTTCCCCTTGCCATCTCTCCAGTTTAATAGCTCTATACTAGAGTAGTGTTTTCATCCATGGAACTGCTTTTAATCAAGATTGACTTTGGGAAATGCTACCATTTTTATGGTAATAAAGGTCTGTATTATGCACTTGGACCGGTGCAAGTTGTCCCTAGTGTGTACCTTCATGTAGTAGAACCATGAAACAAAGTGTAAATGCTAAAATTACTTTTTTTTAACTGTAGTCTCCTAGAGGTCAGTGAATGATTTCCAGTTGGACTGTAGCAAAGACATTTGTTCTGGGTTGAAGAATTTTGCACATGAGCAAATGTATTCTTCCCAACTCTGCCCTCAAGCCCTGGCTGCCGCGTTCTTTCTCCTGGGCTGTGACAAAACAGAATGTTTAGTGGGAAACAGAATTGTGCTTGATTTGTAGACTATCTGACTTCACATTCTGTTTTGGTCTTTGAGCTATTCCTTGGCTAATCTTCCAACAAGTTGAATTGATTCTTGCTTCAAAACTGTTTATCCCAAAACAGAGCTGTTGACAAGTACAAATACAGATGGCAGACATGTGGTCTGATTTTTATGTTCTCATCTCAGCATTCAAAGAGGGAATGTTACTGAGAAATGGTTTACATCTTGAGTCTCTTTTCTAGACAGTATATAATACATGCTGGGAGTTTTTAATTATGTGGCAAATAGTACCAAATGATTAAGGGATTTTCTTAAGCATTGACTGGGTGTGTAAGGCTTGTCATCCTGGAGGCTGTAATCTAGTTCATAAAAATAGAAACTTAGAAAGACCCTGATTCAGAGAAATAGAAAATAAAAAAGGCTAGGAATATATCTCAGTGCAAAGGCCCTGAGTTCAATCCCTATCCCGCATATGTACACACCTGCACCCAAAAGAGCATTCTCTTAGGGGAGTATTGTCTTGGATAATCATACTAAGAGGATCTCACTAGCATTTGAGGATGAACATCTAGTCTGTTCCCTCACTGCAGTCACAGCCATCTTTGCCTGGACCTCTTCCTTGTGGCAAAAAATCTTCCAGAATTGTAGCTCACTTTTGCATTTAGAGGCAGATCTCACAAATCCTGTGACCATTATTTTTTATTTTCCTCCCCAAGTAGAAATTCGTGAGAGCAAGACAAGCTGCATTTCTCCCTGACCTTGTTTTAGGAGGCTCTTACTTAGCAGAATGCCTCTAACTGCCTTTGGTAAGGTTGCCCCTGGTCACTGGAGCCAGACCCGTTAGAGTTGCAGGGTTGGGGTTGACCTCTCGGGTCTGTGTCCAGCAACTACTTTAATTCTGGTAGCTGCTGCCTGTTGGTACCCAGTGCATGGCAGTGTGACCGTGTGTCCATTGTTGCCCGACCAGCCTTGACACCATTAGAGCTCAGATACCTGAGGAAGGAGGGGCAAGCCACAAGAGCAGGTAGTGGTAAGTGCTTTGTAGGACAACAGTGGAGGTAGCCCCAACTGACCCGTGCTCTGTTCCTCTCTGCCTACTTCCTTTAGAAGATGGAGGAGGTGCCGAGGAGTAGGGATCTGAAAAGGTGGTGGAATCAGTTTCCGATGTACTGAACAACAGTTGTAGGCTGTGCCTTATGGGGGATAGTAAAGTAATTTAAGATGTGCCTTCCATAAACAGTGGAGAGTTAATTCACTTGTAAGTGTGGATACTTATGGGGAAAACAGACTCCATATCTTTTATTTGGTTCAAAATCAGGGGAGTTTGAGAATCTCAATTGTACGTATGTTGAAGTTCCAGAGAAACGACTGGATAATTTTGAAGTTCAATTTCCATTTATTTTATTTCTTCACAGGCCCATGTGGTTCAGTCTCCCATCTCTATACGTTTTCCCCCCTCTACTTCACAGAGCTGGAAGACTGATTCATCTGCGGCATAGAAGGATTTTCTTTCCTTAGTAATTTGAGAGTAAAAGCAGATAGAAATACGGACATATTCTAGAACTTAGTTAAATTGTAAAACAGTGGAATAGTTGGAATAAACTAGTTTTCAAGGCCTACTTTACAAAATTATTCATGTCTTTGAGCTCTGTTAATTCCAAAGTTTATACTGAAATGGAGTTGGGTTTGATAAAATATTATACCAATTAATGAATGAAAGGAGAGGCCCAGGGGCTGGGGATTTAGCTCAGCAGCACCACATCTGCCTTGCAAGCTCAAGTTTGATCCCTGGTGCCACAAAACAAAGAGGCCAATTGTGAAAAGTTTACATAAAAGTAATTTCAGGTCAAATTTTATTACCATTGCATGCATATAGTAGCCCAAGCATTTACATCAAATAGAAGTGATTGAACTTGAAAAAATTTAAGATTTGTAATGTGTACAGTTGAATAATGTTACTAGGACATGGGACATTTTCTTCCCCAGTGGTATATCACAGGCAATTTCCACATCTCAGTGGCTTGAAACTACATAGGATTTTCACTGGTGCTCCTTGTCCACAGTGGTCACCTGTGGCCCAGGCTTGGGGGCAGTCCCTGATGTTCCCACCATCTCTGTGTGACTCCAGCCTTGCTGCCACGGGAGGGGCATAGGGAATCACTCCCTGGCCTTTATCTGCTTTTGCTTACAAGAAGTGAGTCATGTGACCATGGTTTACTTTGAGTTTTCAGGAAAGTGTCCTTTTACGGACTCAGAAACATTGGTGAAGCTTGATGACCTATGTATGTGTACTAATCATGCCTCGCCAGAAGAACAGCGATGGGATGTGTATAAAGAGGGATATATCTCAAGGAATTGACTCAACTGGAGGCTTGGCAAATCCAACATCTGGATAGGTAACTAGCTGGAAGAGTTGGAATCTGTAAGCATCTACTAAAAGAATTCCGTCTTCCACAAAGAAAGTCCATGTTTTTCTGTTAAGATCTGGGGTTCACCTACAAGAAGGAGGGGAGTCTACTTCACTCCAAGTCTGTTTATTGAAGTGTTAATTTCTTCTGGAACATACCCTCACAGCAGTATAGGGAATAATGTCCAACTAAATATCTGGGTATTGTGACCTAGCCGAGTTGACATAAGATCAATTCATGATATGTTAACCATATTCTTTGCATTATGCCTGTTAGCCCTCCATAAAACATAGAAGCATCAGGTCTCAAAAATAGATTTTTATTTATAGTATTGAAAAATGAATTCTTTCTCTGTTAAGATTGTTCCTGGTGTCTTAATCTCTACATTAGACCAAAGAAAAATAGTGACTGATTTCTTCATTTTTTCAGAAAGAGGTCTGGATAGATGGTTTGATTTGCTTTTGCTGTTGCAAGTTAATTTACACATTCCCAGTTAAGGTATTTCTGGATTGAAAGAAACATGCAGAGAGAGCAACCTTTTTATAGACCAGGTAAACATTGTCTCAAGCCAAACAGACACATACTCTACCCACAAAACTGAAGAGATGTTCACAGAATCATTGATGTAATTCAGAACCAAACTCTGTGCAAAATACTGTTCAGAAACACAGAATGTATTACATTCGGAACAGCCCTTTGTTGCAGTGGGGTTATATGACTTGCTTTTCAGTGTATTCAAGACCATTTACAAGTATCTGTATCCTGAGGAAGTCAGTGTGTGCCTGTCCTGCTCAAGGATGTGCCATCAGTGAGACCTGGTCTTTCAGTTTGCATTTTTCTTTCCTCTAATCCTGCTACTTTGGGCTCAGCCTGTGTCACACCCCTCCATTGTTCCTCTGGCACCAGTGCAGACACAAATTGCTGAGCCATTTCCCCACACGAGTGCAGCAGAAGAGCCACTTGGGATCAATCCCCCACCGCCCTGACTTCATCAGCCTACTGAATGAACCTGCACAGTCCCCTCATGCTATGGAACAAGGCCCTCTTTTCCGGATGAGGAAACCTGAGGCAGAGAGGTTAAGTGGCTTGGCCTGTGTCAGCTGGGACGTCGCTGCAACTGGAGTAACTGCTCTGCTATTTGGTCAAGCGCTTAAGTGCTGGGCTCCTTCACTCCTAGCATGCATTTAATCAATAAATCAATTTTCCCTCCTGTTCATCCTCCCAGTAGTGGAAAAGAAGAAGGTCCCAAGATGTGCATAGACTGCTGTCCTCCACATTCAAAGATGATGTTGCTGACAGTGATTTGTTACTGCTCTACTTGGGTGTGACAGGGAAGATCAATCGGCAGCCGACACAACAGGCAGCCTTGGCCTTTTACACACTGGGCAAAGCTAGAGAGATGCCCCTTGGCTGTATCCACAGGCACTGTTTGCGAGACTAGCATTTTCTCTTAGAATTTGCCTTTCCCCCAGAGCCTCCCTAATCCTAATTACTACTCAACAGGCTGTTCCCCAGCAACTCTCAGCTGTGTCTTCAGGCCTGAAAAGCACACCGCAGAGAAAAGGGGTGAGCTGTGTATCAATCGGAATCACCTTTTCCTCCCTGGCTCAACTCTGACTCAATCTATCATCCTTTGTTACTAGCTTGTTTACTTGGATATTTAATAACCACTGAAGTAATTAGGTGTTTCTTCTCGAATGCGTTATGATTTTGATCTTGCGTGCCCCCCAGAGGCCCTGTATTAAAGGTTTGTTTGCCAGCCTGTGGTGCCATAGGGAGATGGTGGGATCTAGTGGAAGTTAAGTCATTGGGGAGGGGGGTTCTCCAAGGTATTCTTGGGATCCCAGCCCCTTTCCTTTTATTTTCATTGCCCCCTGGATGCCATGAAGTGAGCGGC